TTTAAGCCAAACACTTGAAAGTGGTGAGGATTCACACCACACCTCACATTTGTGAGGGTAAAACTGAGAGAAGATTCTTACTGTAATGCACAGAGAAAAAAGTATATATATGGAGAAATATCATGGTTATGTAGCCCTCACTTTAGTCCTATATATAATGAAACATTCTAATGAGATATGTTATTTGTGCTCTTTTTGCTAAGTTGTCATATAGAAGTCCTACTGTGTGAATTCAGAGAATTAACTAAAATTTCATGCACTGGTTCATAGTAAAAAATGGTGTGTTACATAATCTATTTGTGACAAAAAGAGTGATTTCTAAAACTCGCAAATTGCCAAAGATTACAGGTATTATTTAAAATACGACTGAGTTTTAACAAACTTATGGTAAAATAGTAGCCAGTTTGTGGAGTATGTGGTATAGTTTTGCAGCCATAGATTTCCAAATAGAAGTAATCAAAGAAAAATAGAAGATACTCAGATGACAGCTGAATTAAATGCATTTGTGATGAATAAGTAAAGGAGAGAGCTGTGATTCTTAATTTGGTTACAATAATAAATTCTTCTGTAACCTGTTACATGCTTGAATGTCATTGAAACAGATTTTTTGATACATATCCCATCAATAAATCATCTGGTTTGAAGTTTTATCATAGGTAATAACTAGTATTACATTTTCAGGGAAGGTCAAAAATAGATTATTGTGCATTCACCTATTTTGAGGAGTTAACTTAAGTTCTTTTGCCAAAGGAAAGCTTAATTCCTTAAAGGAGTAACTTTTCTTTTATGGCAATTAAAGTATTTTATGTGTAAATATGAATGCAGTTATATGCAGCAATTAGGTGCAATATTAGTATCTGAATTAGCAGCTCTGGAATATAGCCAGCATGTGGCCAGGAAAGTGGCCAGTAGCCTGAAGAAGTGTTTTAATTAATATGTAATAACCGCTGTGGAGTGGTTATTACCTCATTACTTTGGCAAGCTGCTAACATTTCATGTTACTTATTTGGGATGGTTATTGTAGTCTGTACTTAAAAATGTGGAAGACGGTTCTGTGTACCTTTTATAGGGAATTAAAAAAAACTGTAAAGTGCATAAAAGTTTGTTTGGGGAAAGATAAATTTAAAATTACTTGAGTCTATGCCTTCGTGTGATCAAGGTATTGTAATAAGACTTACTTGCCTTAGGAATTAACAAGATCTGCAGCTGTGATGTTCTTAATTAAAATATCATAAATTTTAATGCTGAGTTACTTCACAAAGGATGAAGGCAGTAAATCTCAGAAAACATGCATTTTGTTAAGTTTAACTTAATGTTCTTTTGTTCAATAATGAAGTTGTTCATATATGATATATGCCAAAAATATCTCTCTAATTTACATTTCTTTAAGACCTAAGTTTCTCATATGAACTTAGTTGTAAGCAACTCATAAGGTGCCAGGTAGCAGGTAAATGATACAGTATGGATGGGATAGGCAGTGTGCGTTTTTGGTTTTGGATTTTTTTTAAATAGGGAAATGTGTTTTTCTGGTTCACAGTTCTGGTCTTTAATCACAGTGCTGTTCTGAAAAGCTTCAGCTGATATTGCTGTTGACCTTCCTCTTTTCTTTCTGTCCTGCTGATTTTGCTGAAAAACACTGGCACTTTCCTTTGTTTCAGGCTTGGCCTGGCAATGGTGTAACAAGAGGAAAAGAAAATCAAGTGATAAGAAAGGCATATTTCCTTTTTTAATTCCTGGTAACATGAAAATACAACCTCAGCATGTTGTTAATTGGATATAATTTGGACTGAATGTTTTCCCCTTAGGCTTTTATGTTCTAATTATTTTATTAGCTCTATAAGACATGAAGGATTACCATAAACCACTTGATTAAACCAAGGAGATAGGTACTTGAATTGCAGCTTGTACTAATTGGAAATTAGAGCTGCTGGACTGCATTTATAGCTCTGAATTAATTTATTTTGTGTCTTTGTGCAAGTTATTTAAACTATCTTCCATCTGACCACTTTCTTTGTGCACCCGGATAGGGGTGCATGTGAGTTTGGATTACTCTTAGCCCGTAACCTCTGCTGGGCTTCATTGGTGCCGCTGTCACTTTTGTGTCCTGTCGTGCTTGGGCAGAAAGGCTGCCAGGAGCTTCTCAGGACCTTCTCACCAAGGTGAAGGTGACTACAGAGCATCTGGGCAGCGTGAAGTGCCCAGGCGTGCTCAGCTTCCTTTGGATGGAAGCAGCTGGAGGCTCTGTGTTCACCATTCTGGGGAAGGTGAAGAAAGAGATGAGGGGTCCTGAGGGCTCTTAGCAGCTCTGCAGCTGGTGGGTCTCCAGTCTGGGAGAGTGCTGTAGTATCCTTGCTTTGCCCTCTGGCTGCCAGTTGCGCTTGGTACCCTGCTGTCTTGCAATGTCAGGAGCCATCTGTGCTGCAACGCAGGACAGGTCTGTCGCAGAGGAGAAAGGCCAGACTTCTTTATAAAGTCTCTTCTTGCTTTTTGGTTAATGTCCCTGCTGTTGCAGAGGTGCACACCTGCAGGACTATGTTACCTAGGTTTGCATGCCCAGGAACTGCAATAAATATCCATTTCCGCTGGCGGACGGGATTTCCGCTGGTGGACGGGATGGGCACCCTGCTTACAAATAACACAGAAAAAGCAGAGTTGCTCAATGCCTTCTTTGCTTCGGTGTTTACCTAGGGCAGCCCATTAGAGCCCCAGGCCCTAGGGACAAGAGAAGAAGCCGGTGGAGAGGAAGACTCGCCCTGGGTAGAGGAAGATTGGGTCAGAGAGCACCTAAGGAACCTCAATACCCACAAATCCATGGGCCCTGATGGGATGCACCCCAAAGTGCTGCGTGAGCTGGCAGATGCCATAGCTAAGCCGCTCTCCATCATCTTTGAAAGATCCTGGAGAACGGGGGAGGTGCCGGAAGACTGGAAGAAGGCCAATGTCACGCCAGTCTTCATAAAAGGCAAGAAGGAGGACCCAGGCAACTACAGGCCAGTCAGCCTCACCTCCGTCCCCGGAAAAGGGATGGAACGTCTCATACTGGCCGTTGTCTCCAAGCACATGGAGGACAAGAAGGTGCTCAAGAGTAGTCAGCATGGATTCACCAAGACAGTGAGGTGGATTAGGAACTGGCTGGAAGGCAGAGCTCAGAGGGTGGTGATCAGCGGTGCAGAGTTGGAGGCCTGTAACTGGTGGTGTCCCCCAGGAGTCATTCCTTGGTCCAGTCTTGTTCGATTTATTCATCAATGCCCTGGATGAAGGCACAGAGTGCTCCCTCAGCAAGTTTGCTGATGATACCAAACTGGGAGGAGTAGCCGATACCCCAGAGGGCTGCGCTGCCATCCAGAGGGACCTGGACAGACTGGACAACTGGGCGGTGAAAAACCTCATGCAGTTCAACAAGGCCAAGTGCAAGGTCCTGCACCTGGGGAGGAATAACCCCAGACACCAGTACAGGCTGGGGACTGAGCTTGTGGAGAGCAGCTCTGCGGGGAAAGACCTGGGTGTCATGGTGGATGATAAGTTGACCATGAGGCAGCAGTGTGCTCTTGTGGCCAAGAAGGCCAATGGGATCCTGGGCTGCATTAAGAAGAGCATCTCTAGCAGGTCGAGGGAGGTGATCCTGCCCCTCTACTCAGCCCTGGTGAGGCCGCATCTGGAGTACTGTGTCCAGTTCTGGGCTCCACAGTATAAGAGGGATGTGGAGCTGCTGGAGAGAGTCCAGTGCAGGGCTACAAGGATGATCAGGGGCCTGGGACATCTGCCCTATGAGGAGAGGCTGGGGGGGCCGGGCCTGTTCCGCCTGGAGAAGAGAAGGCTGAGAGGGGCTCTAATCAGTGTATATAAATACCTCAAGGGAGGGAGTGCAGAGGATGGGGATGGTCTCTTTTCAGTGGTGGGCACTGATAGGACTAGAGGAAATGGCCGAAAACTGTAACATCAAAAATTCCATAGGAACTTAAGGAAAAATTTCTTAACAGTGAGGGTGACAGAGCACTGGAACAGGCTGCCCAGAGAGGTTGTGGAGTCTCCTTCTCTGGAGATCTTCAAAACCCGCTTGGATGCAGTCCTGTGCCACGTGCTTTAGGTGACCCTGCGTATGCAGGGAAGTTGGACTAGATGATCTCTAGAGGTCCCTTCCAACCTTAAGCATTCTATGATTCTATAAAAGTACCTCATTGTCCTAAGTTGCTCCTTGAAACTCTATAATGTTTATTAAGTGCACAAAAATCTCCCCTAAACAATCCCCAACAAACAGTTAGGTTGTTTTTTACTGAGATAACTCTTCACCCTAACATAAAGGTTATTTCTTGTACTCTTGTTTTCTGTTTCTCTCAGCCATCTGTTCTCTTTTGGCTTACATTTATATTGTAAACTCTCTGGTGGAGGAACAATACTTTTTTGTGTGCTTGTTTTGTTCTGCTGTACAGTGCCTAGCACAATGGGATCTCCACTATAAGCAGTGTTCTTCAGCCCCTTAATGATGCTGCTTCTATCTTGGTATATATCCTTCCAAATATTTTTTCCGTAGGTGTCTTAGTTATGTTTTTAAGATAACATTATGTGCCCTTGTCACTGAACCACAACTAAGTCTGTCTTCAGGAAATGGTTCTAAATGGAACCGTGATTACGCACATTTAAAACCTGTTAGTTTAGAGTTCTTTCATTTTCCAAGCAGTCCTGAAATTTTTTTCTAGTGCCTCTTTGCATTGAGAGCTTTTCTTACTACCCAGTTACACATGGATTATTTTTCTGAATAAAAGAATACCTAGGGGGAGATGTCTACTCACCTAAATATGCTTGTTATGAATATTGTTATAACAGTGTAACTTGCCCTGGCTGAAGAACTTTTGGATATAGTACAGCTAACCCAGTTTTGGGAGAAAAATGGTAGCTGGTAAATGATGTGGTTTTAAATAAATGCTCCTGTATAAAATGAAGTAGAAAGTGAATTTTAACTAAAAATGAATCAAACTTTTTTTTTTTTTTTACCCAAGTAACTTGAAGATGTTTTAGCAGGTGAGTCTGTACATTTGGATTAAAAACAAACAAAAAACTTTCCATTGCTTTTGTGGCTGAAATTTTAGTGTACTCAGCTGAACTGATTCTTGGTGATCTAAAGACTTATTTATAAACAAAATATACAGCTTTTACAACATCTGTGGAGCTGAAGAGTAAGAGATACAGTGATACTTTCCAGCCATCTAAGGAAACCATTACATTAGAAGGTCTTTTGCTTTAAAATCATATTCCTTGCCTTTTTATTACAATATAAAAGATAAGTGAATTGATACTATTAGTTCACTCAATAGTGTGATCTAGTTCTGTGTAATTCAGAATTTGTTTTCAGCTATCCTAGCTGCTAAAAGTCATTAAAATCTAGAAATAATCAAATGAAATGTGTGGTAATAGTTTTACAAGTGATTGTGGAGCCTCTGTGTCTAAACTAGTATTTATAGTGGGGGAGTAATTGTGTTTAAAAGGAAAAGCAGTAAGAATTTCTATCATATCAATTCTATCAATTTCTAGCATATCAGGAGTTGACAGTATCTAAATTAGTTGATCATATAAATTTGTTGGCACTTGATTTTTCTTTTTTTTTAACCCCATTAGTTATATATTTAAAATAAGTACATTAATTTTCACTTTTGCACAGAATTTATAGGTACTATATGTTTAATTCAGCAACCTGAAATCTTTAATCACTCGTCTTCTAAAACGTTACCGTTCTCTTGTGCAGCATGGGTGAGCTCTCTGTCCATGGGGATGATCTTCTTCTGCTCTCCGATAGTCAGCGTGTTCACAGACCTCTTTGGGTGCCGAAAAGTAGCAGTTATTGGAGCAGCAGTGGGGTTTGTTGGACTCCTTTCAAGTTCCTTCGTAAGGTAAATATACATATATATATATATATATATATATATAGGTGTTTTTTTTGTATGTATTTGGTGTATATATCCCTGTTTAAAAAGAGCCACTAAACATGTCAGGAACAAAACTAATGCTGAGATGAGCACTTAAACAAGGTTGTCCTAGATAATTTTTTTTTTTTGATCTTGATATATGCTGTATTTTAGCAGGTCCATAGGTATTATTATTGTTATTATTATTTACAGATTGCTTTTAAAATACTGTTTTAATATTGATTAAATATATGGCAACTTCCATGAAGCTGTTAATGTTCCAGTCAGATTAGATTGTTTTCACTATTCTCTCTTGTCAAATTGCCAAACACTGAGATGCTGAAAAATCTTGATGTAATGGCATATACCTAGGGCCTATTGCCTTTATTAAGAGATGATTAGTTACTGAAGACTTGGTAGTTGTTTCCCCTTCTCCTCCCTTCCAGATAATGCTTCATCTTGTAACTCTTGTGGAGTAAATTCTGAGAAATGACATGTCGAACTTGGTTACTGGAAGATGAAGAAACAGGAATTTTAGTTATTTTTGTTATCAGAAATTGGCCAGGGAAGAGAGGAGAAGGTGTAGGAGAATAAACTTGCAAGTACCTCTCCTTCCTAACTCTGCCCCTTTCCACCCTTGCCAGAATAAGCAGGAGGAGAATCAGAAGCAAAATTCAGAAGGGGTTTTCTACATAGATGAAAACATACACGCAGGCAGGTTCGCAAAAATGTGTGTTCTGTGCCTGTGCTCCACACGAGTTAGGTTCACGTTGGCTGTGGTCTGGAAGATGGATATCCAGGCTGCATGGCATTGTGCCTGAGCTGGTCCTTCTAGCTTGGGCATATCTGCCCTTCTGTAAAAACACATCCACAAATTTACAGGAAGAGAAGACAAATGCGAGTAGTTATCGTTTAGGTACTGAGATTACTGTGTTTGTATTCTTAGAATAACTCATGCTTCTGGGAAAAGAAAAGTTTTGCTTTCTTGTTAATTGAACAAGTTGCTGGTTTTCTTTTTGAAACTGTGGTTAATCGGCATGCAAATATTTAGCCTATATATTTTTTGAAAGAAGTTTCCTGATAAAAGTTTTCATAGGCTTGAGATAGCAAATTCACATGTGAGGTGAAGACTAAAAGAATGTGCCTTTGAAAATCCTTTCTTCCTCCACCCCACTTCTCAATATTGTGTTAACTGATACTCATTAAAAAAGCTTCTTTATTATAGATAAACCCTCTTGATAAATGAAAGCTGCTTCCTTTCCTTGAACCAAAATACTGTTACTCATGTGTGTTTCCTTGATATCCACTGGAACAACAAGATAGAAGAGGCATGTAAAGGGAAGTTATTTTGTAAAGCCAAAAAGCTGTTTAAAACTCTTATTTGAGTTTTGCTGAATTTGAGGAGCATTGTGTTTTGGGGAACTGAGTTTTTGTTAAATTGCATCCCAGGTTTGTTTTCTTGATGTTCTGATAGGTTACTTAAATTATAAAATGATTTATGTCAATGATATTATCAGTTACGTGAATATAGGTCAGATGCAAAAAGGTCCATATTCTAAAAATTGAGTAAATTGGAGATAGGAGTTACTACTTTTGTTACATACTGATATCTTAATGGGAATTTTATCTCTTAGGAAGCTGAGATGTAAGAGCCTATATAATATAGGAAAAATATTTTACTCTGTATTTCATGCTGCAAACTATTTGAATTAATCTACAGATGGAAACTAAAGTTTTTACCTTTAGTATGTTGCTCTTATTTTGTAATGTCTGCTTTTGTTTTTCTTGAACATTTTCTAATGACAAAGGTAATCGCTCTTTCCACTTATGTTGTTTCTGTTGGCTGCGCTTGATATGATCAATGTTATACGTTGATACATAGTATCAGAAATTGGCACTGTTAGCTGTTAGATATTAACTGTTGTTCCTTCTCATAACACACAGAACAAGAGGTGTCAGATGTGAGTTAGCCAAATATTTATTTTCTAAAAATTTCTATGATTGCATAGGAAGCTTACAACAGAATTATGATCTAGAGAGAAGAATGCTGGCAGATAACATCCTAAGATGAAAAACTTTAGTTCTTTGGCAGAACCACCCTTTCAAACACTTTTAACTGATATATAATCAGCATAACTCAATCCAGTTTACTGTTTAAAATAATTTGTATTGTTTTGTGTATTCTCAGCAAAATTTCTGAAAGTTTCTTGTGACATTTTAATGTGAGAGGAAACTGAAACACAGAAGCTTAAGGACAGTGAAGTGTAGCAAAATTTTGAATTCCTCCAGTAGAACTTCTGATGTCAGGGTGTTCTTAAAATGTTGCTTCTGTGGAGCATTGCACCAATTGATAGCAGCCGTTTTCCTCTGCTTTCTCACAAGAAACTGCTTCAGCTTTTTTTTTTTTTTTTTTTTTAAAAAAAACCCACAATTCAAAATTCCCAAATTGAGAGCTTAATGTATTTATTAATACAGTTTAACTGGCTTTCAAAAACTATTGTGAAAATAGACATAGCTTATTTTAATGAACCAAAGGTTCTTTTGTAGCATAACATTGAAAAAAAAAAAGTAACATACCAAGGACCGCTGCAGAAGTTTTATATGATAACATTTCTGACATGTTAATTCTTTCTTTGTCTAAGGGTAAAAAAAGTTTTCTTTGAATTATTAACATAGTTAATTAAGCTAAAAATAGTATTTCATACTATTAAGATTTCTTGAACCTCTTCATTCCCAGAAAGCTGTGTTCTCAGGTAATGACCATGCTTCATTTTGGTTGTGTTGGATAGCGGGCGATACAAGTAGATGATCTCTGTGATTAGGACTCTTTTACATGAGTTGTTTTTTTCTTATTATTTTTTTTCCCTGTTACTTTTTGGGCTTATGCCAGTGGATCAACTCTGAATTTAGATTATGTAATAAAATTGGATTTATTTGTCAAAAATCAAAACAACACCCCAAAATTTGTTATGTTAATAATATATTACCCAACCCAGAAGTATTTTGATGATACATTTTTCCACTGTTAATAATGTTTGCTATTTTTGCTACTGTATTTTTCTAATAGACAATATAAAAATACTTATTTTTCTTGGAGTCATGAGGAATGCTCTAATAATACGTTTGAATTGCTAGCAGAGCAGAGGTGTGTAAAATGAAAAATAAAATACAATTTTTGTTGGAGAAGGGAAAAAACAAGGAAAAAATAATGATCAAAGTTGTATTTGGCTATTTCATGTTGATTTCTTTTTTTAAAAAATTAGTCAGTATTCAGTAGTTTTCTGCTTAAGTAAAGTTTTGCTTTTCATTGAAATTTTATGAAATATTCTATTTTTTCTGCTGAACAAAACGGCTGATCTAAGCTGATGCAGCATATTTGAACCACAAGTGCCTACAAACTGTCAGCTAAGTTTTGTAATTTTTTCGTGCAAGAACTGGATGTGAACAGTGCTGTGCAAAATCCTAACGAGCTTTTTGGACCTTCCTCTTTCGCCGTAGCACCATTGAACCTCTGTACTTCACCTACGGAGTGGTGTTTGCCTGCGGCTGCTCGTTCGCCTACCAGCCCTCCTTGGTCGTCCTCGGGTACTACTTCAAGAAGCGCCTTGGCCTGGTGAACGGCATCGTCACTGCGGGCAGCAGCCTGTTCACGGTGTCGCTGCCCTTCCTCTTGAGGGTTCTGATCGATTCCGTTGGCCTCTACAACACCTTACGGGTCCTGTGCGTCCTTATGTTCGTCCTCTTCCTGGCCGGCTTCACGTACAAGCCCATCGTTTCCAATGCCAAAGACAAAGAAGAAGGGAAGAAGGGCAAGTTCCGGTTTCCTCCTGGGAAAAAGATTTTCAATTTCTCCGTTTTCAAAGTTACAAGTTACCGAATCTGGGCATTTGGGATCCCAGCTGCACTTTTTGGATACTTTGTGCCTTATGTTCACTTGGTAAGTGCATATCCTTTCCTCCATTCGATATGTTTTAAAAAAGCTATTTCTCTTTGTGTCCCAGGCTAAGAAAATAATGAATGATAGGATGAAATACTTGAAGTGGAGGTTGTGTTGGGAGGAATATGAAACTAATTCTGGTGTGATTTGTGATTAAAAGAGATTTCAGGGCTCTAGCTGGAGCTGTTAGAGACAGCTAAGATTATTAGTTCCTTATTCTCATCCTAAAGTTGCTTAGAAAAAAGCATTGTAGATACTTTAACTGTGCAAAGAGACATTTGAAAAATCTTCTACCAAACCAAACTTGATCACTGACAGAGATGGTAAGAAAACAAATGAATTAGAAATAAAAAATCATGCATATATTTAGAAAGGGTAAGAACCCATGTAGATGTTATCAGTGTCCAGATTTTTGTTTGCTTATGTATGTGGCCTGGTAGATAATTGTGCTCTAATCTTTCGGAAAGCTTGACATATGGGTAATTTAACAAAATAACCTCTGGCTCAACTGATCTTGAAACCAAAGAAAGTGCATGTTTAGAACGAAATCACCAGTAAAAACAATGAAATAGTCCTGTATTTCATAAAGAGCGGTATTTCAACTGTGAGAATACAAGTAACTAAGACTGTCTAGCCCTCAGTCTCTGATAAATGATAAGAAGGAAGGGTTTAATACCTGTAGATCATGTATTTGTTAAAAAAGACTTGAAAAATATTTTGTATGTATCAAGGACTTCTCTGTCCCCAGTAGCAGGAATCTTTCGGGTGGAATTCAGGAGCTGCATCACTGGGTTAGAGAAGGAGGCAGTATCGTGGGTTGTAATGCTCCGATTGCTGCTGGGATTAAATAATGAGCTGTTCTCACAGCTGGAAACACCATCTCTGAAATTTTTTCTCTACAAACCTAAGCTTTTTCCTCCGAGTTTACCTCTACTAAAACTTTGCTTTTGGAACAAAGCATACATACTTGCCTCTCTCTTAATCATTCCAAAAAGAAAGGAAAAAATTTAGTTGGTCAGTTGAAAGAGGAATTTATTTTTGAAATGAGTCTTCACTCAGATTAATATCAGTAGTTGGTAAGCAGTGATACGTGCTAGGAGAATTGCTTAAAACCTTAGATAATCGCAGTGGAACTGAATCTGAGAAAGCATGAATCTTCAGTGTTGGAGAATACCTTTATAAGAGTATAGGAAGAAGGTGGATTTGGCTCTTCTACACAGGTACTTAAACTTTAGTAGATACTTCTTGGACAGGAAGATCAAGATTTGTGTTTTTCGAGGGGGGAGTTTTTCTGTTTTAACCTATCCTTACCTGCTTTTGATTAAAAACATGTTCTATGTAGTTCCAAAAGCTCTGGATAAATAGAAGACTAAGAAATTCTAAAAAGATGCTGGTATTTCCCCTGAACTGGAGCTAACCTTTTTCTGTTTTATTGAAAATGAACATTTTTATTATTCCATTATGTACTGTGCTTTGAAAATAGTATGTGATACCAGAAAAGGGATTTGGCACTTGGGTGAACAACTGCTTTCCTTACGTAAACACTGCTGAATTTCTTCCATCATTAGGGATGGCCTGCAGTAGTTCTGAAGTCACTGTGCCAGACTGTTAGTAGCAAATGTCCTAAGGAAACAAATGTATATACAGCACTCCAGGAAAGATTTAGAGATGGAGTCTTAAATTAGTCTTTTGAAAGTAAAAGTATGGGTTTCTGCTACTGAGAATGGCTACCTTGGGCCTATGTAAATAGAAAGTTATACCCAGGCACCTTCTCTACCTGCACACCTCTCTAAGCCAGAACTTCAACTGTGTGTTCCTGTGGATCCCCAAACAACCCAGGGCCCTTTAGCTCTCCCAGAGTGCCACTAAAGTGGCCAAGCTGGGGCGCTCGGCCTGGTTCTTTCTCCCCCAGTTGCCTTGTGCCCACATATTTCTCAGCCCAGTTTCTCTTACGAAACAAGTCCTGGTTCCTCTACGTAGAAAGGTGGTTCCTGCCACTGCGCTGGATGCTCCGGATGTGGTGAAACGGGCCCAGGTGGCCCAGGCTGTGCGAGGGGCAGGTTCTCCTGTGTCACTGCGATGGTGGTACCAGGTGAGGTGGTAGCAGAGCCTGAGGTTCAGGCGGGACCTTGGAACGCTTCAGAGGCCAACCCCTATTTTCTTTGTCCTTTCTGAATTTTCTAAAGCATGTTGAAGGGGAGAATGCATATTGTGAAAGTTATACTAAAAAAAAAAAAAAGCTTATTTCAAGCTTTGGGATAATAGAAAATATACCATCCACACCCTATTTGCTAGATAGAGTAATAGCTGGTAAAACAAGAGAAAATAAACTCTCTGTGGATTAAGCCCTAACTAAAATTAAACAAATTATCTGGTGTGCAGGCTAGCTATTCATATCAGGGAGTTGATTCATGGGATTACTTATATCGAATAGTTGTTAATCCTCTCAGTTTTAAATCCAGTAATTGAGAACATTTTTTTTTGATGTCTATACAGAGCCAAATAGAAACTACTTTAGCTCATTTGGTTTAAAATCTTCTGTCCACAATAGCAATCTGATTGACACACATCTTTGCAAGCAGTTCTTAATGCACACCATTTCATTAAGGAAATGATTAAGTGTATTTGAATATTAAGTAAATCTGAAAGAATTTGAGAGCACAGAGTCTCTGCATGCTTTCTTGTGCCATGCTTGTTCTGTTAATAAACAAGAGGCTTCCGTTTTCCAGGGATAAGTCCTTTCTAGTGAGCATGTCTGTGCTGTGCTTTGGTACCCTTCAAGAAAGCTGCAAGTACCTCCTTTTCCAGGATCAAAGATCCTTAGTTCGGATGAGCTTACTAGGCTGGCTTTGCTAAAACATCATTTAAGGCACAGGGTGTGCTAAATAGTTTAAAAGTGATGCTCCTTCTTGTGCTTTATTTAGCTTAATTAAAAAAAAAAAAAAACTTAAAACGGGTGCTTACATTGCAGTCTTTTCTAAGGTAGGTTCAATGGGATTTTAGGATCAGCATTGACATGTTCACACAAAGTATGGACCTGTACTGTGTTCTTATTAGGACTGATAATGTTTTTTATATTTTCTGTACAGTATTTTAGTACTTTAGTAATTTGCTCTGGAATTTTTACAATATCTGCATAAATTCAGATGATGCATTGTTTCAAACAAAGATGTGCAGTTCAGTTCAGATATTCAGTTCAGTACTGATATTAAATGCATCTTGTTGCTAATGGTAGGTCTTTTTCGGAGCACTTAAAATATATATAAAAATATATATTTAAATGTAGGATGAAAAGTTGGGCTGAATAATCAGGGCTTGAATTTCCAATGCTATGTAGTTAAAATTTAAGTATTTCTGTAACTATTTTCTGTATACTGCAGGCAAATATTTTGTCTTTCTCCAAAGGATGTTCAAGCATTCCAATTTCAAGTGGGCATTAGGCAAATCCCATTTATAGACTATTAAACGCAATACTTAGTGCAAATATTTATTATACATTTTACTTTTGAAAGTGGATGTTATGTAGTGCATGAAAATTGCATATTGATATGGTTTACCTTTCTATTTTAAGTTTATCCTATACAAAGTCTAAGTACGTCATATAAAGAAAATATGTGCTTGTTAAATATGGACTGAATTGCACTTGGAAAAAAAATAGGCTTATTGTTTAGATGTATTTATGGAGTTGTATACAAAGCTACTCCCCCTAGTTTGTGCAGAATATAGTTGCTGTGCAATCTGAAAGTTGACTTAGCACTGACCATATAGATATTCATAGTCCATGATGGGTGCATCTTTGCATATGTAGAGATTTTTGGTTAGCAGTACGGAGTGTGTTCTGTGCTTTCATGTGTGTCATGTTTGGGAGCTTGTGTTTTTGTTGTGAATGTGAATTTTCCTAGACTGTAGTTGGTCAAAGCTATTAGCAGTGCAGAGTGGTGTTTGTTTGAATTATTGACAATTCTGAGGATTATAATCATGTTTTGGACATAACTGACTAGTACAACAGATCTCCTCTACAGAAAACGTTGAGCGGTGAAATATTTAGAGACCTGATCAAGATTCTTAAGGCTGAGTAGGATTTTAAATATCAAATCAAGCTTTTTTCCTTGAAGTTTATTGTGCCATCTTTGGTCTCCACATTTACCAGGAAGTACATCTCTTCCAGTAAGTTTCAGAGCCTGTTCAAACTTACAGGTCAAATCCATTGACATACAGCAGTACTACAGTAAAAATATAGATTGTGCCATGTGCTAGGCTGTATCTGACACATGTATCCCATTGAAAATAGCCTTTGGCTATAGGAACGCATTATAGTGTATAATGCACATGCCTCCATCTTCCTTGAAATTCTGGAAGAGTTTAGTAAGTGTCTGTGAAGGCTTTCTTTGCGTTCAGGGCAACAGTGCTGCTGAGTTACCTTCTGGGAGATGCTCATAGGTGATTCTGGATTTTGGTGACAAGGTCCACAAACTTAGAACTGTCCTGAGAACTCACCAGAGAGTTCTTTCTCTAGTGTGTCTCTGGGCTGAAAGAATTATGGGCAATGCTGGAATTGCTTTCTATTATTAAGAGGAGAAGATCAAGACTTTAAGGGCTTTAAAGTTCCAGATACGGAACTGAATCACTTGTATCTCATCAAAATAGCTGTCAGGCACTTCCTATATACACTTTTTTTTCCCCCCAACATAGACAAATATTAAAATACATAAAGTTGATCAGTCTCAATTGGAGAAGATTGCCTAAGTGGAGTTTTAACTCTTCACTAGTCTGATGAGGACCAAGAGTTTCATTCCTGAGAGACACAGTTGGAAACTCTAAATACTTTGTTAGTCACAAGAAATCTTTTAATCCTTTTATATGAATGCTCCCATTTTCTAGAATGAGTCACAGTATTGGACAGTTCAGATAGTTATTTTTCTCTGCTCTGTGTGGCTTAGTCTGTTTCCAGATCCCTCTTGTTTTTTTACCTTGAACTTGCAAGGCCTAGTTGGTATCCT